TTGGTGTGATCATTGGAATTCATAAGATCTCGGACAACTTCTAACTTGACGCATTTTCGATGAACGGTTTTTGAGTTATTGCTCTTGACTTTGTTAAAACGCTTCAAAATTTGTTAAAAATAGTTCGTGAGCAGGATTGAAGCTACAGTTTTCAACCGATTCTGATGAAACTTGGTGTGATCATTGGAATTGATAAGATCTCGGACAAGTTCTAACTTGACGCATTTTCGATGAACGGTTTTTGAGTTATTGTCCTTGACTTTGTTAAAACGCGTCGAAATTTGTTAAAAATAGTTCGTGAGCAGTATTGAAGCTACAGTTTTCAACCAATTCTGATGAAACTTGGTGTAATCATTGGAATTGATAAGATCTCGGACAAGTTCTAACTTGACGCATTTTCGATGAACAGTTTTTGAGTTATTGCCCTTGACTTTGTTAAAATTGCGTCGAAATTTGTTAAAAATAGTTTGTGAGCAGGATTGACGCTACAGTTTTCAACCGATTCTGATGAAACTGGGTGTGATCATTGGAATTGATAAGATCTCGGACAAGTTCTAACTTGGTGCATTTTTGATGAACCGTTTTTGAGTTATTGCCCTTGACTTTGTAAAAACGCGTCAAAATTTGTTCGTAAGCACAATAGAAGCTACAGTTTTCAACCGATTCTGATGAAACTTGGTGTGATCATTGAAATTGATAAGATCTCGGACAAGTTCTAACTTGACGCATTTTCGATGAAATGTTTTTGGGTTATTGCCATTAACTTATGAAAAACGCGTCAAAATTTGTTTGTGAGCACAATAGAAGCTACAGTTTTCAACCAATTTTGATGAAACTTGGTGTGATCATTGGAATTGATAAGATCTCGGACAAGTTCTAACTTGAGATATTTTTGATGAACTTTTTTTGAGTTATTGCCCTTGACTTTGTAAACACCCGTCAAAAGTTGATTAGAGCTGTGTGATTTAATTGTTTGTTGTATTTGGGTTATTGATATTGATTTTAAAAAATTTTGTGGAATTATTCAGCATAAATGATTTCTTCAATATGAGAAAATTCGTACTTTAGTCACTAAAGACTGTTTTATTATTTCAGACAGCTGCCAGTGGGCGTATGTTACCTTGCATCGCAAGCTATCTTATATTTCAGTTAGACTGTATGTATGTAATTTTATATTTCAGTTAGACTGTATGTATGTAATTTTATATTTCAGTTAGACTGTATGTATGTAATTTTATATTTCAGTTAGACTGTATGTATGTAATTTTATATTTCAGTTAGGCTGTATGTATGTAATTTTATATTTCAGTTAGGCTGTATGTATGTAATTTTATATTTCAGTTAGACTGTATGTATGTAATTTTATATATCAGTTAGGCTGTATGTATGTAATTTTATATTTCAGTTAGACTGTATGTATGTAATTTTATATATCAGTTAGGCTGTATGTATGTAATTTTGTATAATTTCAGTTAGGCTGTATGTATATATTTGGTGGTGTTAGTAAAATTGATGTTGAAAGAACTAATGGTTTATATAAAATATGGTTAAAGATACCTCCATTAACAGAAATGTGTTGGCAATTATTATGTGATACTATAGACATGAAATATATAAACTCTGAAAAACTATTAGATATGGGTGTGCCTTCATTATTTGTCGACAGGCTAAGTACGTTATGATCAAGAAGTCTCCTTAATGTGAGAAAACATTGATACCAAGAACAACTTTGGCATTTATATGGAAGTTTATTAAGGGAAGTAACTCTTGTAAAGGGGGTTGTTCGCTATTTATGTAAAGCTGTACATGCTGTTTTTATTTTGGACTGTAAAAGTTTTACTGACTGCAGTGTATTTATTTGAACTGAAAGAAAATATTACTGTAGCTCAAATGACTCTAGGTGAGTAGTGGTAAAACTTGTTGAAATATGTGGTAACATCTTTTATGTCTTATTGCTACATGAGTTAGGTGAATAAAAAAAATTTAAAAAAGATAAACTTCAGCATTATAAAGAAAACTCTTCCTCTCATTATGGATAACAGATAGCAACATTAGCTGGCTGTATAACTGGTAAAATCAAACAAAGTAACCATCTCATCAACACTGTTCCTATTTATAGTTCTGAGTCATTGGCTTTAAGAAGTTTTTTAGAGTTTCAAATATTCTGTTGGGGGACCGATTTCTTAACAAAATTTATTTAGTCAGACTTATCAATATGGTGTTCATCAATTGAAAATAAAGTGAATTGTTTCAATTTATATGTCTTTGCTAGATTATATTTAAAGGGGCATTCTGCTTTGTTTTATAAAACATTTTCATCAAAAACATTGAAAATATTTCTACAGTATGCTTTCCATATCTATGTATCTACTTGATCAAACTGAATTTGTTTTAAAAGTGTTAATTTAAAACAGAGGGTAATAATTGTTAATTAAGCAGTTTGACCCAGTTTCAGCGTTTGGCTTAATAAAGGTTTGATATTATAAGTTGAAATGTATAGAATATGTAGGAGACATATCTCCCTATAATTAGGGTATTATTTTACGTAAATTCATTCACAGTAGTTTTCTAACAGCTTAAAAAACTTAATGTTTTTATATAGTTTAGACGTTAAAAAATTAATGGTTGGATTGTTTTAGTTAAAACTTTCAGATACGTTAAAGGCCATATTTCTCTACATTTTTATACGCCCACATGAATATGTGGTAGTATATTGTTGTTGCCCCTGTCCGTCGGTCCGTCCGTTCGTCAACATTTCTTAGAGACTACAGTTTTTATAGGCCCACATGAATATGTGGTCGTACATTGTCGTTGCCCCTGTCCGTCGGTCCGTCCGTCAACATTTCTTTTGAGCACTATAGAGACTACAGTTTTTATCTGATTTTGATAAAACTTGGTGTGATGCTTTAGATTGATAAGATCTCGGTCAATTTTGAATTTGACATATTTTCGATGAACGGTGTTTAAGATATTGCCCTTGACTTAGAACACCTTGAAATTTGTTAAAAATTGTTGTGAGCAGGATTGAAGCTACAGTTTTCAACCGATTCTGATGAAACTTGGTGTGATCATTGGAATTGATAAGATCTTGGACAAGTTCTAACTTTTTTTGAGTTATTGCCCTTGACTTTGTAAAAACGTGTCAAAATGTGTTTGTGAGCACTATAGAAGCTACAGTTTTCAACCAAATTTGATCAAACTTTTTATGATCATTGAAATTGATAAGATCTCGGACAAGTTCTAACTTAAGGCATTTTCAATGAACGCTTTCGGAGTTATTGCTCTTGACTATGTAAAACGCTTCAAAATTTGTTTGTGAGCACAATAGAAGCTACATTTTTCAACTGATTTTGATCAATCAATGGAATTGATAAGATCTCGGACAATTTCTAATTTGACGCATTTTCGATGAACGTTTTTTGAGTTATTGTTCTTGACTTATGAAAAACGTATCAGAATTTGTTTGTGAGCACAATAGACGCTACAGTTTTCAACCAATTTTGATGAAACTTGGTGTGATCATTGGAATTGATAAGATCTCGGACAAGTTCTAACTTGAGATATTTTTGATGAACTTTTTTTGAGTTATTGCCCTTGACTTTGTAAACACGCGTCAAAAGTTGTTTTTTGCCCTTGATTAGAGCTGTGTGATTTAATTGTTTGTTGTATTTGGGTTATTGATATTGATTTTAAAAAATTTTGTGGAATTACTCAGCATAAATAACTGGCATATATATATGTAATTGAATTCAAACTAATAAAATTCCTTCAATATGAGAAAATTCGTACTTTAGTCACTAAAGACTGTTTTATCATTTCTGACAGCTGCCAGTGGGCGTATGTTACCTTGCCTCGCAAGCTATCTTTGTGTACAGTTTTCACAAATTTTAGCAAAAAGATTTTTTCGACCAAAAAAAGCGGAATGTCCTTTTAAGAAATATTTTGAATAAAGGTATAATATTATTCATTATATGATTATTTCAAACACAAAACATAATTGTGGGTGCCGTCTTATATCATTTATGTTTTTATTGAATCACTAAGTTTGTAAAGATGTTGTTGATCAAGAATGTACTGACATGTTTTTAATTTACCTCTAACTATTGTTATTATTGAACATTTGGACTGTGATATATATTATACAATAATAAAGCTTTATGTTGCAACGGCTAAAAAGTATCTTTTTATCTCAAAGAAATAAACTCTTGTCCAGTAGAATGTTGTTGACAACAATATTGATTTAATTAGTTTTTATACGCCCACATGGAAATTTGGAGGTATATTGCCGTCAGTCTGTCAACATTTCTTGTGAACACAATAGAGACTACAGTTTTCAACTGATTTTTATACGCCCACATGAAATGGGGGGCGTATATTGCCGTCACCCATGTCCGTCCGTCCGTCCACAATTGCTCGTTAACACTCTACAAGACACAATTCTTGACGGCTTTTGACAAAACTTGGTATGAGTGTTTGTAATCACCCAAGGATGAATTCTATTGAAAATCAGAAGAATCGAAAAATATTTAGTATGAGTTATTGCCCTTGTTCTTGAAAATGCGTTCAATTTTTAGCTCGTAAACACTCTAGAAGGGACAACTTTTGACGGATTTTGACGAAACTTGGCCTGAGTGTTTGTTATCACCCAAGGATAAACCCTATTGAAAATCAGAAAAATCGAAAAATATTTAGTATGAGTTATTGCTCTTGTTCTTGAAAACGCTTTCAAATTTAGCTCTTAAACACTAAAAGGCATGATTCTTACTGGATTTTGACAAAACTTGGTTTTATTATTCAGTCCCGCTCTGAAGATTGAATATTTGCCTTCTAGAGTTTTCACGAGCTAGAAATTGAACACTTTTTCAAGAACAAGGGCAATAACTCATACTCAATATTATTCAGTATCGCCCTAAAGAGTTCAAAAGAAGTGTATGACTGAAGGTTGAATATTTCATACTGGTAATTGTTACTGTACTGCTAAATATCTTTATTCAAAATCAAAGCTGCCAGTGGGCATATATTACCTTGCTGCGAAAGCTATCTTAATGAAATTAGTTGTGATCATTTATATTGATGAGATCTTGGTCAAGTTCGAATTTGACTACCTTTCGATGAACAGTTTTTGAGTTATTGCCCTTGACTTAGGAAAAATAAATAACTGGCAGTAAATATATATATCATTGAATTCAAACTATTAAAATTTCTTTAATATGAGAAAATTCATACTTTAGTCACTAAAGACTGTTTTATCATTTCTGACAGTTACCAGTGGACGTATGTTACCTTGCCTGGCAAGCTATCTTTGTAATAGATTTAGAACAATATAATGTATATTTTATTATATTCTTAATCCAGAGTTCAAATCAATATTGATGTAATTAAATTCACATTCACATGTCATAATATTGCTGGATCTAAGTTAATGGCAATGATTTTAACCATTTCAATCTTGTAACTTTACTGGACATTTTTCTTAGTAGGTTTTTTTTTTATATCTTCCTTGAAAAACGTGTTTGTGAACACAATAGAGACTACAGTTTTCAACTGACATTAATGAAATTTGGTATGGTCATTTATACTGATGAGATCTTGGTCGAGTTTACAAAAGAGACAACAGTTTTCAACTGATTTTAAGGAAATTTGGTGTGATCATTTATATATTGATGAAATTTTTGACAAGTTCGAATTTGATGATATTGCGATGAAAGGCTTGACTTAGGAAAAACGCATTAAAATTTGTTTGTGAACACATTAGAGACTACAATTTTCAATAGATTTTAATGAAACATGGTTTGATCATGTATATTGATGAGATAATTTGATGTATTTGGGTTATTGATATTGATTTTTATACGCCCACATGGAAATGTGGACGTATATTGCGGTCGCCCCTGTCCGTCAAAATTTGTTTGTGAACACAATAGAGACTACAGTTTTCAACTGATTTTAATGAAATTTGGTGTGATCTTTTATATTGATGAGATCTTGGTCAAGTTCGAATTTGACGATCTTTCGATGAACGGTTTTGAGTTATTGCCCTTGACATAGGCAAAACGCGTAAAAAATTTTTTGTGAACACAATAAGGACTACAATTTTCAACTGATTTTAATGAAATTTGGTGTAATTATTTATATTGATGAGATTTTGGTCAAGTTTAAGTTTGAATTTGACAATCTTTCGATGAACGATTTTTGAGTTATTGCCTTGACTTATGAAAAACGCGTCAAAATTTGTTTGTGAACACATTAGAGACTACAGTTTTCAATTGATTTTAATGAAACATGGTGTGATCATATATATTGGTGCGATAATTTGATGTATTTGGGTTATTGATACTGATTTTAAAAAAGTTGGTGGAATATCTCAGCATAAATAACTGGCAGTAAATATATATATCATTGAATTCAAACTATTAAAATTTCTTTAATATGAGAAAATTCATACTTTAGTCACTAAAGACTGTTTTATCATTTCTGACAGTTACCAGTGGGCGTATGTTACCTTGCTATCTTTGTAATAGATTTAGAACGGCAGTGGCTATTTACCACTGGCGTGGTAAGCGTGGTAAATAGTCAGAAGTACCCCTACAGCTATTTACCACGGCGTGGTAACATGTTAAATTAGGCCAATGTCACCATGTTAGTCTATGGAGACAAAACGTGGTAACTAAATTTTACCACG